AGTTTAATAACTGGAAATCCCTTGTTGTTTACCGCAATTACAATCAGAGTTTCTCAATTCACATCACTTTTTATTCCTACATGTGTTTTAAAATTAAAAATGAATTCCATCGCGTAACCTGGTTACCAAAAAATTAATTTTTTTTTATTTACATAAAGTCCCTTGACAACTATCGTCATTTAAACATACAATAATCATTATACAGGCTGGTGAATCGTCAAACGAGCCATAGGAAACTTAATGGGAAATTCTAAATTGTTGAATTCCTGTTTTCCTAATTATTTTACAACTAAAGTCATGGGAAACTATTTGTAGAGGACTGAAATATATATTGAAAACGTTAAAATGTTAAAATTATTCTACGAATTAAACGTATTCCAAAATATTGCAAGAATATAATACATTTTTAGACCACCCCTTAAAGTCAGGCCACACGCTGTGCAAGAGTGTGTATGACATGTTACGTTTGTTCATATTGATGTTTCTAATATTTGACAATAATTGAATTGCCAAAATTTTTATTTTGTGATTTATTTTTTAAATACAATAAAGTTGATTCAAAAATGTACTTTGTTGAGGAGTAAGTAGCAATAATAAAAATGTTTTATTCAGGCAATAATGCGCGAATTGTCAGTTCTTTATTTAGTGTAAGATATCCAAATAGACCAATTCCAAGTAATTCAGTTTAACAATTCAAAGAAATTTAAAAAATTTTGAAAATACTGTGACCGTGATTTCTAATTGTACCTGTACACATAATATTGCTCAGGTACCAAGAAATTTAGAAATTCAAAATGAAATAAATGTATTAACAACAGTTGTAGAAAATCCTAGAAAAAGTTCTTGGACCACTGCAGACCAATTTAATATTCATAATTACACGGCCTTAAAAATTTTGAAAAGGAATAAATTCCGTTTATATAAATTTTAATGTCATCAAGAACTAAGAGAAGAAGCTGCTGAACGACGAGCGGAATTTCGTTATAAAATTTTATAGAGGGCTAATGCAGACAGACAAATTTTAAAAAAACGTGATGTTTAAACCCTCCCTCCCCTCTAACCCTTTCCGACAATTCCTTGAACGCCACGATCCGACAAGCCGTCACGCCTCCACCACAAAAAGCATCAAACATAACCAGAATGGACCTTAGAATTTCTTATGGAGATTTACATGGGATAATGACCTGTGTTGCGCTCGTAGCCCTGCTGCCCTGACACCGTCTTCACGTTTGAGGGATGGCAGGGGGAAAGAAGAAGAATTGAAGCAATCTTCACATTGACAACAGATTGACAGATTGCGGCCCCTGGTAGGGTTAGGATCTTGAATAAGTGGGGACAGCTATGTCGGTCATGTAGATCCAATGCTTACTGAAATCACGTGTCTGTCTGGCCCAAGTACCCTTAACTCTGCTAGCTACCCCTAAACATGACCAGAATTGACTTTAGAATTTTTTATGGAGATTTACATGGGAAAATGACCTGTTTTGCGCTCGTAGCCCTGCTGACCTGACAACATCTTCACGTTTGAGGTATGACAGACGAACAAGAAGAAGAATTGATGCCATCTTCACGTTGACAACAGATGACAGATTGCGCCCCTAGTGGGGTTAGGATCGTGACTAAGTGGAGACTGCTAGGTCGGTAATGTAGACTGTAACTAACAGTTAATAAAATCATTTTTCTAAATGTTTGGTGGACTAAGAATAGTTCCTCTTCCCAGTTTCTTAAGTACTGCTTCATCTGGACTCAGTTCAGTCATTTTTGCTAACCCATGTACTATCGATCTCGGGAAATTAAGCTTACTGCTTTTAATGTACCCATCGTTTTATCTCTCACTGCTTGAATAACAGATTTTATTATGCTATCTGGATCCCAGGACTTTGAAAGGAATGTGAAAAATCGGGATTTTCAGATTCGATTACATTGTCCTTGCATTAGACGTGATACACCTTGTAGCAAAATATCGAAATTGTTAGCTTGATAAGGAACGCGGAAAAATTTTGTTTAAACCATCGAATATGAACATTTTGTCATTTTGTTTTGTCAAAATATCGAATATACTGCAAACTGACGAAAATGAGATATTCGATACTTGTGTTTTGTATAAATATAACTAAAGGCATATTTTTACAACGCAAAATGACGACTGTGTCACATTCATTACTTTCAGTGTTGTAATTAATACAGTTACTCAATTATAATCTGCAAATTGTCGAAAATACTAAACATTGTTGACAAGAACAAAACGCATGTTTTCACAATTATGTGAATTATTTCATTCAAGAAGTTCTTTCGGTGAGGCACTTTATCATTTTGTTTTTATCGGTTTCTCATTATCTGATTATTCAGTTAAGTGCGTATAGCTAAACCAGACACAGTGATTTTGTCAAAACAAGAATTATTTAAAAAAACAACAAAGAATGCTGTCTTTGGGACTTCGTCCACACACTGTAATTCTCCTTTGCATCAGAAACACCTCGAAAGAAATTTCGAAGTGTTTCCGATGGAAAGAAACTCGATTTGAGAAAAAAGATTCCTCGATTAATTTCGATCTTCAGTTTGTTATGTCAACGCCTAAAGGAGCTGCAGGACCTTGTGTTTCTGTGAGAAAACTTTTTATAATTTGGCCATTATTATTTAAGAGAAGGGTGCGTCCAGTGTTTCATATAGGATGAAACCGAGGGAAAATGCGGTGTACTGAAATTGCTATATGAATATTTAAATACATCATGCCCTACCCTGATATTGAACACGTCAAAAGTAATGTCCGACAATTGCAAAGGACAACAGAAATACTTTGCTTTTTCTGCCACGTGTCAATATGTTGTTAATTGTCACCCAAATTTAAAAACAATTGACCATGTGCTTTTTGCACCGGTCACTCAGAAATCGATGGCGATTCTGTCGATTCAAAAATTGAATCTAACGGAAAAAATTCCCCTGTATAGGTACACCCTTGAAGGATGGGCACAAATCATAAGACTTGCACGCACTAAGCCATGCCCGTTTGAAGTGACATACCTACTTCATAACGACTTCGTAGATTTCAACCAAAGAAAGGTGACATTTGCACTAGAAAATAACATAAAATCAAAGAACAAACAAAATCAATATGAAAAAGAAAATGAAGTAAAAGATGAAGAGCAAACTAGTAATGGAAATACTAATTTTAAATATAGTGATGGTATACGGTACCAGTATCGGCAAAATGAAAATAAATTTTTATGAAGACTATAATTGATGGAAACTTTTTATCTCTTGAAACCAAACAAAAAAAGAGGCAAACAAAATAGTATAAAAGTGTATGTGAACAAAACTTATTACCTAGGTCATACCACCAATATTACCAATCTTTACCAACATCTAGTACTGCCAGAGATTGTATTCCAGAACCTGACGCAACTATAGACAACGATAATGTTTCATTCAAAATTTAAAACTTTTAATTTACCATTATTTTACAACAATTAAGGGTCATGACTGAGTACTTGAGGTATCTACAGGACGTGAAGTTCCATAATTAATGTTTTTTACGTTTCTAATTACCTTAATTTTCTAGCAATACATACTTTCATAAAAATACTTTTAACAATGTTTTTAAACATAATTTTTTCCATTTTATCCTACAACTTTAATTTTTAATTAAATCATTTGTAATAAACTTTGTAAGAACATTAAAATTATTTTAATTTTTCTCATTTTTAATTAAGAGTAAATGTGTTAATATTAGACCAATATGAACTGTCGAAAATGTCACACTCGCAATTTTGAAACATTGCACCAAGTGAATGTGTTAAAATTCTACCAATATAAACTGACGAAATGCCACATTCGCAATTTTGAGACATTGTACCAGAATAATTCGTTAATTAACACAAAAAGCATGGTATCGAATATGATTTTTTGGAAAGAAAAAAAACAGTGAACAGTTTAATTCTTTTATCAATGTAACAAGGATTAAACATTAAATATAAAAAATATAAAAAATTTTTCCATTTGTCAAGGTGCTGATTTAGGTTTCTCTAAAAAAGAGTTATTTTGCTCTCCTGAAAAGTACTACTTTTCACATCGATAGTTGGAAATATTAAATATAGATAAAATATTAAATTTATTCTTAGTTTTCACCGAAAAAAAAAATTAAAATAAAACCATACCTGAAAAATTACTTGAACAGCGTCAACACTAACATATGATTGTTTCAACGGTCACTGGAGCTAGGTCACTGTAACCATGATACTATGACTATAAGATAAGATATTGCGCATGTTTTTGTGACGTCATTGGAGAGTTGCACGTTTGAAATGTCAGTTTTTTGTATATATCAATAAATAATCTTTAATAAATAGTTTGGAGATATCCTTATGTGTACAATTATTGTAATTATTGAACTTCTTAACTTATTTTCGTCCAGTAATTTCATCACAGAATGTATACAAATCCCATTATTTCAAATTCTACTCTCCAATGACGGCATGCGCGAACCCGACCGATTTTGAGCTACGGGAAGATCCTATCTTGTTATTCATAGTATCATGACTGTAACCTTTATTAGTTATTATTTTAGACTAAAGAGTGTCTAGTCAAGCTATTGACGTATAGATGGTGGTGTGTATTTCATATTAATTAACGCGTTATACGCAATGTGACCCTAAAAATACTATATAAAATATGATCAAAATATAAGTTGTGTAATAATGCTGATAGTATGCAGCCCTGTCTAGTCCCTTTATTTCTGGTAGCGATCAATTAATAAGGGTTTATTTAACTTTTGAGTTGGTTATATTTGTTTTTGTATATCGATAAATTGTGGTTTATACACAATAAATATAATAGATAACAAATACTTACAGAAAAAAACAAACAGCTAACAAACATTTTATTTGAAATTTCAACGTCTTAAAGCTTATTTCACTCTTAGTTTTTATACTTTTATAAACATTTGTTGTGTATTTTTAGTACTATAGTAATTTCATTAAACTAACGAGTTAATTTTGTTTTAGGTATGATAATATCGATGCCATTCCTGTTGCTTACATTTCTCGTTTATCTGCTATTACCTGAGAGAAATTTACACAGACGAGCGCTTATGTCATATGTGTTTACTTTATTAGCAGCATATATTACTCTGGTCACTATTCAGCTCTACTCAGGACAGTTTCCTGATACAACATGTCACGTTTTAGGTAAGTACTGATGTGTTTAACTTATTATTTCTTAATTAACTTTAAAATTTTACTTAATTAATTTAATGGAAATTTTTGGAATGGCTTATGGTATCGAATGCTTTCTCGTAGTCAACAATGATCAGTGCCAATGATTTGTTGTATTCTGCAGACTTCTCTATCAGATTCTTTATTACTAGTAACTTGTCATTAGTGCTGTATCCCGTTTTATATCCATCTTGTTCTCTAGGCTGATAGAATACTAATTTAGCGTCCAGTATTTTTTTGATAAGTTTTGTGAAAAGTTTATATAATTATTTATTTCAACGGTAAAACCATTTACAATAAAATACAACAAATAGTAAAAAGTAAAGATCATAAGAAATTACAATTAGTAAAAATTTGTACATTAAAACAGTATATCATATCACAAAAATGTTAAAAAGTATCAGTATCACATAGTAAGTATCACATAACTAGATTAATAGTTATATTCTTAAGTTGCCTTTTAAAAGCATAAATGTTTGGGCAGAAAGGATCCAATAGGAGGTCATTGCAAGAGCTGAGCATTCTCGGCAAGGGAAAATGACGAGCATAATCAGTCCTATGAAAAGGAATATAAAAGAGTGCAGTGTGTCGAGTTCTATGCATTGTGTTTAAGTGTACATTGGCTAATAACGAGGGACAATTAATAGCGTTGTTTAGAATTTTAAACAAAAATAACATATCAGCTCTCAACCTTCGGTTCTTCAATGTAGCAATGTTAAAATGAGACATTATTATAGAATAATCTATGAAATGATTTTCAGTATTTTTTATATTTATATGTGCTTTAAAAGCTAAAGATCTTAGAAACTTCCTCTGAACGCTCTCCAATCCATCAATGTATACTTGAAGAAACGGGACCAGACAACAGAGCAGTATTCAAGACCTGAGCGTACCAGAGAGCAATACAATAATTTAAATACAATAGGTGAGAGATCATGACTGTTACGATAAATAAAACCAAAATTACGAAATTCTGTTTCCTTAATTTTAAGAAAATGGCTTCTAAATGTCAATGCACAATCCAATAATACACCCAAATCTCTAATCTCAGTAACTGAATCCAAGAGTACATCATTAAGAATATATCTATTAGCTACTAAATTATTTATACGACCAAATGAAATACAAGAACATTTAGTTGGATTTAAGCTTAAACCATTTTGTTTTGACCATAAACATATGTTGTTTACATCATCTTGCAGGAGATCTCTATCTGTTTATTATGTATACAACGAAATATCTTAAGATCATCAGCAAATAGCAGGAAGTGTGAGTTTTTGATAGCCTTACCAATATCATTAATGAACAAGTTAAAAAACAATGGACCACAATGAGACCCTTGTGGTACACCAGAATAACAATGAAATTCTTTTGAAATATAATTGTTAATACGAACTTGCTGTGTACGTCCCATCAGAAAACTTTTAATTCAATTAACAATGGGGTCACCAAAGCCAGATGCATGAAGTTTGTGGACCAAAAGATTATGATTAACCTGGTCAAAGGCCTTTGAGAAATCAGTGTAAACGCTGTCAAACTGAATTTTATTCTCAAATGCACCCAACAAGTATTGTTGGTAATTGACAAGGTTTGTTACAGTTGATTTCCCGTTAGAAAAAACATGTTGTTCATCAATAATTATGTTTCTGCAAGCCCAGGTGAGATTTATCGATACCAATTTATCAAAAAGTTTCGTGATTACTAATTGAATAGTTATACCTCCATAATTGTTAACACACTCGCGATTGCCAGATTTATAGATAGGTGTAAGAAAACTATTTTTCCAATATTGTGGAAATACAGATGATGACAATGATAAATTGAAAATTTGTTGTAAAGGTTTACAAAGGAAAAAAATACAATTCCTGATAAGTGCTGCAGGTATACCATCAGGCCCTGAAGAATATGTAGTTTTTAAACTGCTAATCCCCTCGAAAACATCAGTCAGACTAAACTTCAGACTCTGGAAATCAACATCATAGTCCAATTTAAAATTAGGTACATTACACTCACTATCATTATATTACACTCACTAAACATATTGGAAAATAATGAAATAACTAATGCTTACTTAAATAATTTTTCACAACATAACTTTGTTTCTATTATTAATAAACCAACGAGGCAAAAGAACTGCTTAGATCACATTTTTGTTAAATTTAAATCTGAACAGACAATAAATACTTGCAAAGCAGCTGTCCTAGATACTTGCATTACAGATCATAAAGCAACTTTAATCAGCATACCTGTAAACAGTATCAAATATTTAAAACAGAAAACTAGAGAAATAATTAATTATAAGACCCTAAAAATGGATATCAAAAATTTTGATTGGACTGAGTATTATAATATAAAAAATAACGAATGACATAACAGAATATCTAATAAAGACATTAAATGACTATATAATTAAACATACTAAAACCATCAAAATAAAACACGCAAATGAAAAGCGAAAAAAATGGATTACAGCAGGACTAGTCAAATCAATTAATAAAAAAAATAAACTGTATAAAGATCACATAAATCATCCAACAAATGAAGAAAAAAGGAAAGCTTATCTAAAGTACCGTAAACAATTGAACACACTTATTAAGGTGACAAAGAAAAATTACTTTATAAAAGAAATTATGAAAAATAATAAGTCTTCAAAAATTATGTGGAAAATAGTAAATAACTATAATAGTGAAAATGTTAATACTCAAAATATCAAAGAAATACTTACTGCAAATAACCAAAGTATTACCGACACACATGAGATCGCCGAGGAATTTAACAAATATTTTTCAAAAGTTGGAGAAACATATGCTCAGAAGATAATAAAACCTCCTTCTCGACCACCAAGAGAAACGTTACAATAAATTCCTTCTTTTTATTACCTGTGGATGAAAATGACGTTGTTCAGAGTATAGCTCATTAAAATCGAACAAAGCTCCAGGAATAGATGGTATTAAATCTGAAGTACTTAAAGAACTATCGCCAATACTAACTGGTCCCATTACTTATTTATTAAATAATGTATTTTCTAGCGGCAAATGGCCCGAACAACTTAAGCAAACAGTGGTGATTCCCATTCATAAGAAAGGCGATCCAAAATTAACAAATAATTACAGACCAATCTCACTAATCACTTCACTTTGGCAAGATATTGGAAAAGGCTATAAAATATCAACTAGTATTATACTTAGAAAAATATAAGTTAATTTCAAACAAACAATATGGTTTTAGGGAGGGAGTATCCGCGGAAAATGCAATATCGTACCTATCTAACAAAATTTACAACTTAGTTGATAGCAGTACACCAACAGCTTGTGTATTCCTAGACCTGGCAAAGGCGTTCGATACGGTTAGTCACTCACAACTATTAGATACTTTAGCAGACATTGGTATAAGAGGAAACACATTTAACTTAATGGAAAGCTACTTAAAAAATCGATATCAAAGAGTGCGACTAGAAGGGAAATTGAGTAGTGCTAAAAGCATAAATTTTGGTATACCACAAGGACTGTACTAGGACCCATATTATTTATACTGTACATAAACAATATTCTTACCTACCGGACTGAAGGTGAGATATTAAGTTTTGCAGATGATACAGCAATTTTGTACTCTGCAGGCACGTGGATGGAACTAAAGCGAAAAATGGAACATGACTTAGGAAGAATTATTGATATATTTAACCACAAATTTCTTACAGTAAATATGGATAAGACAGTTTATGTTCCATTTACAAGCTATAAGAGAGGTCTACCAGATTACAAATTTATAAAAATAAAAAATCTGAGTATTAATGAAGTGAGTAACACAAAATACCTTGGTGTTCAAATCGACTCGTATCTACGATGGGATATACACATAAACCAAACGTGTAAAACATTGAGATGTCTATTATACAAAATGCGATATTTACGTAATATACTGGATATCCATTATCTGAAGGTTATTTACTATTCTTTGGTAGAATCGCGTCTACGTTATGGAATCCTTAGTTGGGGTGGAGTTGCAAATACATACCTCCACCAATTAGACATTATCCAGAGAAAAATATTAAAAATTATTTACAATAGACCTTCGAGATACCCTACTAATGATCTTTATACCGAAATTCAAATGTTAGATACAAGACATTATATATTCTTACAATTATCACCAATTTATACAAAAATAAACACTTACTCACACCATTAGGGCACACCTATCATACGAGAAATAGAGCACAGTCTTTTGTCAAATTAAATATTGCAAAGAAAACAGTTGGTAAACGAAATTTTGAGTATTTACAAGGAAGAATCTACAATTTGCTCCCTGAAATTTATAAAACATACCTAATCACTATAAACCCGCAAAAATGATTAAGACATTGTTTACTAGGTATTTGAAACAAAATCATAGACAACTGTTCAGCCACCTTTTTGAGACCAATTAGGTTATAACTAACGTCAAATCAAGAATAGATTACGAAATCTTAAAAATTTATATATGCTATTATCTTGGTTGATTGTATGCATGAATTGTCTCTCTCCTGTTAATTAATTAATAAAAATTTTTTTGTTATTTTTTTTTGTTTTATCTTAATATAGGTAATAATTATAACTTATAAAGTAGTAAAACTCGCCTTGCTGTAGGATCAATATAAATAAGCAATTAAAAAATGGCCCATGCTCAACTTAATTGTTTTAATGGGCACTACTGTTTATTTACCTTGAACCAATTACAGAACTACAAAGTAAAAGTAATATTTTTAAAATTTTATTGTCATTTAATTATTTTATTGTAATATTATTAATTGTATATTTCATGGAAATAAACGTTATTATGTACCTGAAAAATACCTGGCAAATAGATTGACTATTTCATCACCATTCTGAGCTATTACATCCCCACCTTTATTAGACATTACATTAGGATACGCACTAGACCCACATGTATTAATAACATACCTCCAAAAAGAGTGGGGATTCCTTGAAAGATTTGCTTGAATATTCTCTAAATAGTTCTTATAACATACTGCTTGTAATGCTTTACATCTTTCCCTTGACACCGAAAATTCCTCATATGAGTTGCCTGATGCTTTAAAATTATGTGTGAAAGCAAACTGATAGGACGGTAGTTTTTTTAAATCTGTTGTCCCCTTGCTTGGGTAATAAAGTAATGACTACAATTATTTCAGTGAGAAGGGTTTTTCCTTCGTAGATGCATTCCGTGAAAAGCTTGGAATAAGCCTGGATAATTTTATATCCACCTAGTTTGATCGCTTCGATCACTACTCCGTCATCTCCAGAGGATTTGTTATTTTTAATTTCTAAAAGTGCCGTTTTGATTTCGTATGGAGTTGCTTGCCTTTCGTCGGTGCTCTCATACATTTCGCGATAAAAGGATTCGACAACCTCAAGAATTTTGGTCCTATCAGTAGTAATGTTTTTATCTTTGTTTTTTGTTTTATACATATTTTTGTTGCCTATGTTGTTCGTATTTCGCCTCAAAACTTTAAACTTTTGTTTTTTTTTGTATTATTTTAGTTATTTCTCTTGTATTGCTTTCTCTTACGTTTTTTCGGATTGACCGGTGGATATACTTATTTAGTGTCTTCATTATTGTGTAGTTGAAACCGTATTTTTCCGTCAGCTGTCTTTTTTTACCTATTAACTCTTTCTTATTTTGGCTTAGTGTTTCTTTATGGGTCAGAACGGTCGGGCAACAGTTCCTTTCTGTTTCTTCTAGATCCTTCATTATGTCATCATTTGCTTGATCTATATCTTCTATTTTGTCTTGCAAGTCTTGTATATGTCTAGTTAGTGTATCTTCATACAGGTCGTTGTTTTTTGGAGGAATCCATTTCTTTTTTCTTGTTTTTAGGATTATCCTTGTTTTTTCAAATTTTATATTTAATAGTATCTTAGTCCGGATTTTATTTTTGACACTACAATCTGGGCTGATCCATGTCCATTTACGCTGATTCTTTCTATCGAAAAAAAAAAAATTCATCATGAATAAATTTTCCAGGTGTAAGAAGTTCAGCAATCTTTGCCCTCGTATATTTTTTCGCCATAGCCATATTTACCCATTGCTACTTCTACGTTCTACATCATCTTGTTTAAACCCCATTTTTGCATTAAAGTCGCACATAATTATTGTGTAATATGCTGATGTGGCATGTAACGCTGTTTCTATAAAATTTTTCAATTTCTTCATCCGAGTGGGTGGTCGTTGGAGCATATGTCTGGATTACCTTAAGATTATCTTTCATTAAGTTTGAAAAAGAGATTTACAATCTTGGGAAATATGCTGATAATTTCAACTACATTTTGTGTGTGCTTTCTATGTATAATGAATCCCACTCCACTATTTGAAGTGTCTCCTTCATCTCTAAAATGAAATACGTGTTCTAATTTAAGAGTCATTTCTTATTCCTATACATATCCTTCTCTTCTTTGTCTTATTTCACCGAGGCCGATGATGCCTTATTTTTTGTTTTTCAGCTCTTCCTCTAGTTCGATCATCTTTTGGTCTCATATAAGAGTTCTAATATTGTATAAAGTAATATACATTTGTCGCTCTTTGTAATAGCCTGTTTTTTTTCCGGGATTCTCAGCACCCTCTGCTCCAAACCTGTTCCAACCGCTACCTTGGTTGGGGTGTTGGAGCCGCCGGAGACTGAGAGCCGTGCAGTAGTTTCGTCGTTCATGGAAAATAACTTTTGGGGTTTTAAGCCATTAAAATGACACGCTTGGCTAGTTCATGTTGGCGAGTTGGTTTGGAAGTGGGAGGAGGAAAGGGTGAAGATGGGAAAGCTTTCTGTTTGGACATGGTTTCCCCGGGGATGGGACGTTGGGGAAAACCACGAGCTCGCGTGGATAGTGTGCTATTCCTGAAGTAGATCTTCCCCTACTGGATTCGCAGAGAAGTATTCACCCACTACACGTAATAAATTATCACTAGTCTTTATTTACGATTTTTGTTTTCATCTTTGTTATCCATTGGATATATTATCTACCACAATTATTATATTACTTGAGCTTTCGCGACACTATAGCCACGTGACTATAATGTCACGTGTATAATATATATATTTTTTTGTATTCGTATCTGACATTCGGTTACGATCCTCCTTCACAAAAAAGGGGATAAATTAGATCTCGAAAACTATAGGCCAATCAGTTTGCTTAACCACCTATACAAGCTCTTTACTCGAGTACTCACAAACAGTTTAGAAGTAAAACTCGATTTCTATCAATCAGAAGAACAGGCAGGATTTCGAACGGGACACGGAACAAACGACCATTTGCAATGCCTGAAAACTCTAGTTGAAAAGTCTTTCGAATATAACAGACCCCTTGCTCTTATCTTTGTAGACTTCCACAAAGCATTTGACACAGTCGAAACAGTTGCTATCTTAAAAGCACTATCAGAATGCAGAATAGATCACAGGTATGCAAATATTATTCGAAATATATACGAAAATGCGACAACAACCGTTAACCTCCATTGCATGACTGAGAAGATAAAAATTTGCAGAGGGGTGCGGCAGGGAGATACCTTGTCGCCAAAACTATTTATAACAGTTATGGAGTACGCATTTAAATGGCTAGAGTGGGAATCAAAGGGTATTAGCATCGATGGAAAGATATTCAATCATCTCAGATATGCCGATGATATTGTTCTCATAACAGACAACTTAGTAGAAGCCAGAGTTATGCTACAACAACTACAGCAAGTAACCCAGAAAGTCGGTTTAAAGATAAACTATGGAAAAACAAAAATGATGACCAATCTCTTTCCCAATGATCTAATAGAAATCGAAAAGTGGCCCATAGAACTTGCGGAAAAATATGTGTATTTGGGTCACGAAATAAGGCGAGATAACCAAACATGCAGAAGAATAAGTTTGGGTTGGGCTGCATTCGAAAAAATGAGAGACGTATTTAAACAAATATACCGATCCATTTAAAAAGAAAAGCTTTTAACCAGTGCGTTCTACCAGTCCTCACATACGGAGCAGAAACCTTAACTCTCACAAAAACATCAGCCGAAAAATTGAGAAGGACACAACGAAAGATGGAGAGATCAATGCTTGGAATAAGCTTAAGAGATAGAATAAGAAACGAGGAAGTTCGTAGACGAACCGGAGTGGAAGACATTATCGAACATATTACAAGGCAAAATGGAGATGGGCTGGACATGTTGCAAGAATGAAAGACGACAGTTGGACAAAAAAATTGCTTGAGTGGAGACCACGGGCTGACAAGCGAAGCCGAGGAAGACCCCCAATGCGATGGACCGACGACCTCAAAATAATCGTGACCAATTGGATAGCAGAGGCGCAGAACAGACGCAGATGGAAAAATCTAGAGGAGGCCTATGTTCAACGATGGACAACTCAGGGCTGATTGATGATGATGAATGATAATATATATATATATATATATATATAATATATATATATATATATATATATATTATTTCCACACTGTCCCGTTTTGGCAGTCTACTGTTTTCATTTACTGTACATGCCCATACTCTATGAACTGCTTGATGCTTGCGTTGTTTGTCATCTATTATTGTACCTTATATTCAGGACCGTTCCCCAATTGATCCATCTCTTATTTTCTTTCTCAAAATCCTTATTAAAAACCTCTATTTTCCTTCGGTTCATCTATCTATCTTTTCATACTTTTTACCAGAGTTTCGTAGATCTTAAACTTTCTCGTCTTTGTTCTATACTATTGTTCTGTTAAAGCATCTTATAGCTTTTCTGTCTGATATTATTCTGATTTAATTTCTTGGTTATCTGTTCCAGGCGAGAGATTTATTCTCTCTCCTGATGCCGGCCATAATGTAGCTTCGCCTATTTTAAAATTTTTAAACGGTTTGTCCTTGTGTAGTGTAGTGTAATGTACAATTTTGTGTTTATGACATTCTGAACTCAACAGATTGTTAGAGCGGTCAAATTTGACGAAATGCCGTTAAAGATGCTTTAGGAAGCGAAAATACTTGGGCAAGATTTAATTAATATAACTGTCCTGTGCTCGATATCTGCCTTTTATTTGATCAAAGTTCATTTATTCGAGCATTTAACCTTATATCAATTAATTTAGAATTTTTAAGTATTTCAATTATTACTCCATAATAACCAGATCGGACTAATATTTGATAAATATTTTTAGGTTACCTGATTATATTCTTCTTCTTGGTGTCTTTCTTCTGGATGAACGTCATGTGTGTTGACATGTGGTTAGCCTTTAGGTAAGTAAATTATTTTTATTTAAACATGATTTCATAATATATATCTCTTGTAAGTTCAATATAGAAGCTGTTATTTGAGATTGATTTTTTTAATTGAACAAACACTGCATAGTTTCTCAAATAAACAAATTTGTAAATATCGGTTTGCGCATTAAACAGGACTTTCATCGGGCAAATTCGACATAGTAAACTTGGACCGGTAGAATCTTGTGATGCCGCCAGTATTATGGTGGTATTAACATTGTTGTCAGATCTCCGTTTTCTATAAATCTAATGAACTTTCTTTTTATTTTTGTCTTTTAAAATTTTTAAGAAATATTAACTATCTTTCGTGTAATGTTCCCTATACATAAATGTCATAATTGCGGAGTTATTGCTACATTCACATTAACTTCGTCAAAGTTAAAATAATACATTTAGATAAATAATCTCGATTAGTTTAAATAATTTTCAATAATTTATATCCTTATCATATAACAAGGTCTACTGTCAAGAAATTAGTAAATAGTTTAACGAAATTGGTGCAGTAAAAGATTTATGCAAATCCTAGCGCCGAAAACCTACAGCATTGAAAACAAATTTGTGTTCGAGGTATGTCAATATTTAAGTGGTAGAAAAATTCGGAATTTTAGAAAACCAGTAAAGGCGATTACAGCAGAATCACAAATGATATTCATTTACTTCAAGGCAACAAGCATACATACGATTTTTAAAACTTAGCAATACATTTTGCAACATCCCTGACTTTTTTTTTCATTATCATCATAATTAGCCGTTTGGAGTCCACTGCTGAACATAGGCCTCTATGATAGAATCAAGTTGTGCTGGATGCCCTTGATGTCGCCTGACCACCTTGTTGGATGACGTCTTCGATAAACATCGCATCGTGTCTAGGTCTCCATTTTTAAAATTTTCTTGGTTTACAAGGTTGGTCCATTTATTGTATTGGCAAAGTTAATTTTAAGGCCAACTTGTATACAACAGTTCTGAAGATCTTAAAGAAGTTGACAGGCATGATCTACCCTGACTGCAATAAGAACTATGTCGTCTAAAAACCTCAAGTTGTTCAGAAACTTCCAATTATGTTGACTCTAATATTTTCCCAATTATTGTTTCTCATGGCATAAAGTGGTGAATAGTTTAGGAGAGTTGGTGTCTCCTTGCCTAAAACCCTTATGCAAGGGAAATATTATTTGTGTTGCCACCATACATTCTCACTGCAGTTGTGGCGCTATTAGATATATTCCGAAGAAGAGTTGTGTACCTATCATCAATACTGCACTCTGGAAGAATTCTTAACATGGATATATGTGGACTGAATCAAAGGCTTTCTCAAAATCTACATATATGAATATCATGGCTTGTAGTATTCTATAACTTTCTCTGTCAAGGATTTTATTACTTGTAGATGGTCATTGCCTTGCAATTCTTAGAAGGCTCAGATTATAAAGCAGAAATCTGAATTGTGTTTCGAAACTATTTTACGATTGAATAATAAAAAAGTTTGAGACAAGAGACCGCTAAGTGATTTACGAAGAGAGGGAGGGGCAAGAATTAGATGTCAACACCAAGTAAAACAAGATGTTTTGGTTTTATATTTTAAATAATAATTTTTAATATTTAATGTACATACACAAAATATTTTAACTTTGTGTCTTTTTGCAGCGGTATGAGAACATTCCTTTCTAAAAAAACAGCTGAACGAAAAAGATTTATTATATACTGTTTCTATGCTTGGGGCATGCCAATAATTCATGTTATTATAGTATTTTGTATAAATCAGTATGGAAACACAGCGGCCGGCTATCACCCTCAAATTGGAGTTAAGCGATGCTTCTTAGGCGGTAAGTACTATTGATTACTTATTACTTGATTAATTCTTTGTTTATTTATCTAAAACTTATATTTTGTGCTTTTTTTGTCTTTTTATAGCCAATGTGAATTCCTTGGGCATCATTGCTAATCCTCTTCATAAGCACGTCTTGTCTAACCAGCCGATAACATTTTTATAATAATTTGATAATTTGACATTCTCTTGGCTCTTACCTAGTGTTCTCATATTGTTCAGAGATCAAGGGTCATGATTTCTATATCAGGAGACAATTTTTCGTTTGGCCCATTTCCAAGTAACCTGTAGACAGTCTAGATTCAAAGCAGTGGATAGGAGCGACAGGTTCGCCTGCCATTGTGGCTCTCCCTTAGAGTTCAAACTCTCTTTCTCGATTCGTCGATTAACTTTTCTGATCTAATGAATGGGTAGAACAAGAACTGCTACTGCTTTGTCGGAGTATGTCCGTTTGGTTTACCGATATGCCCAGGATTGACGGGCCGTGGAGTTGGTGGTGTATATATTGTAAAATGGCGTACACCCTATACTCCATGCTATGGCATGCTGGACGAGCCATACAGTCTGTAGTCAACACCCTGAAGTATGAGCGGGAATACAAGGTGTATCAATACTCATACGCTTATGAAACGCACCTGGCGGATCATAAGGGCCTTCACATTCTACTCTTTTTCAACTTGTCTTGAGTAAAATGTCTTTAATCTTTCCTATCAGCCTCTCTTGGCTAACTCTTGTTTCTTCCGACCCCGAATGGCGATTAGGTTTCCGAAGGCAGACGGGTCACTATATTTCTTTCTACTACACACTCTTCACTCATCAACCCGCATGGCAAGCGTGGTGATTTATTTGCCATATCCCCTCAAATAATGTCAAGACTTAAAACTTCATTACCCCAGGTGAGTAGGATGAATCCAGAATCTCACACTGATTTATCAGTCTGTCCCAAGGATTCTGTGGGGGACAAAACCTTGACTCATAAATTATTTAAGATGAATGTCGCAACGTACAATGCTCGAACGTTACTGTCAGAAGCCAAGATCAATGAAATGGAGCGGGAGATGGAAAAGATTAACTGGGACGTAATTGGGCTCTGCGAGGTAAGAAGACATGGCGAACACCTACAGACATTAAAATCTGGCCATATATTCTACCACTTCGGTGAAGAGAACAAATCAGTGGGAAGTGTAGGTTTCCTCATAAATAAACAGCTGTACAGTAGAATCCATACAATACATGGTATATCCACGAGAGTACTATACGTCATTCTAAAGTTGAACGACAGATATAACATCAAAATAATACAGACTTATGCGCCAACCACAGACCATAGCGAAGAGGAAATAGACATTTTCTATGACGAAATAACACAAGCACTGAAAGAAAATCACACCCATTTTACAATCATATGTGGTGATATGAACGCAAAAATTGGCATGAAATCCGATCCATCAGAATTTGTACTTGGAAACTTCGGCAGCGTTGGAAAAAATGAACGCGGACAAACTTTATTAAACTATCTCCTTCAGAACAAATTATATCAAATGAATAGCTTCTTTTACAAAAAAACAACATAGAAGGTGGCGAACTGAAATATACGGACGCGGGATTGGAATTAGTCAAGTCAGGCTGTCAATTATATTAATATGTGCTCACAAGGCAGTCAATAGGGCTTAACATAGCAGGACCTTCTCTATCTGTTCCGATAGTCAAGCAGCTATAAAGTCTGTAAAAGCTTCAAGCTATTTCTGGAATCTAAACGGGCCTAACTGCCGTTACGTTAACACTTTTTACAGCTACCATACATTCAAATCTAGGCAACTATCGGGCCGATATCATTGCAAGACACTATCTGTTCTGAGAGTCAAGCAGATATAAAGTCTTTGAAAGCTTTTAGCTAGCTCTAGAATGTAAAAGGACCGTAACTACTGCTGTATTGACCAACAAAGTAAACTTGACACAGCTACTATGACCTTCAGAGGTAGAGGAGAACGATCGGGCCGATATCAGTGCAAAACACAGCTTGTCGACACTTTCTTTGCGCCACGAATCTATATTTGATGTACCCTTTAATACTGGCAGGGATAGTTTAAAGGGTTTAAAGGGGTTTCTCTCGCGAAGTTTATAGTCTTGGGCTAGTAGTAAAGGTAACAAAATTGTCCAAGCTCCATGTAGCGGATGCCATTGCCAATTCCAAGCTTTTCATATTAAGAGACGATGTTCTTTTTCAGTTGGCTAACTTATATCCCAATCCAATAGATCCGACTCTACCGCATGAAACTGTCTGGTTCCACCAGGACGGTGCAACACCCCATTATGCTTTAATGGTGAGAAATTACTTGAATAGAATCTTCTTCAATAAATGAATTGGATGAAGAGGTACTATTGAGTGGCCAGCGATGTCGCCAGATCTTACACCTTTGGATTTTTTTCTGCGGAGTTATCTCAAGAACAAAGTATATGCAATATAACCAACTAGCACTGAAGACCTCAAAGAAAGGATAACTACAGAAATACAGAATATTTCACCATAAACTTTAAACAAAGTTCGGGACGAGTTTTATAGGAGACTGTGTTATTGCCAACAATAAGGTGGAGAACATTTTGAGCATTTATTTTAATGTAATCCAATCAATTACCTCGGATATTCTATGAATTAATTGTCTTGAATTATTCATAATACCTCACCTTGTATTATTCATAATAGACCCTACATGATATAGTTCGTTGAGATCAGGTTGTTAAGGAGTTTATATATATATATATATATATATAATATATATATATATATATATATATATATATATAACAAGCGAGTCTTCTACAGCTGGCGCCGCTTCTCGCATCCTAATTTCCAGCGTTTTCTGTCGAAGCAATCTTCAGTTGTTAGATCTCTGGCGGTCATTGCATCGTCGACATCGTCTCTCCAGGATCGTCTTGGTCTACCTCGTTTTCTTCTAGTTGGCGGAGTCCATTCTTCTATTTTTTTTTGGCCATCTATTTTCCGCATTCTCTGAAGGTGTCCATACCAGTTAAGTCTTTTGGCTTCGATTGTGTCTATTATGTCTAGGTCTATCGTCTAAACGAATATCTTCGTTTCTCACCCTATCAAGTCTAGTGAGCTGGCAACATCGTCTCCAGTAGTTCATTTCCATGGCCTTAATTTTTATTTGTTTCTTTGGTTTATTTCCTAGAGTTCGGCGCCATACAGTCCAATACTTTCTATTATTGTTTTATAAATTCTTCTTTTATTTTGTTTTGTTATTTTTTTATTCCATAATAGTCCGTGTATCTGTCTGGTGGCTGATCTTGCTTGGCCAATCCTGGAATGTATTTCTTCGCTACTTCCTGCTTTTGATGTTATTTGGACTCCCAAGTACTTAAAATTGTCTGTTGGTTTTATAGTTCTCATTTCGATTTGTAGGCTTTCTGGTTTTTCTCCTACAACTAAGTACTCAGTTTTTTGTATATTAATTGTGAGGCCCCATTTGGTGTACTCATCTTGCAGTTTTTTAAGCATGTAGCTTATATCACTCTCGTCTTCAGCTAGAATGGCTTGGTCGTCAGCGAAATGTATCGTGTACAATCTATCAACTCCGATTGGGATGCCCATATAGCAGCACTTTCTTCTCCACAGTGAGAGTGCCTCATTTAGATATATTTTGAAGAGTGTAGGTGCTATGCAGCAGCCTTACTTTAGGCCCTTACTAATAGGAATTTCTCTTGTTAATCTATTCCCAGTTTTAATGTTTGCCGTCATATTTTTGTAGAGCTGTTGTACTTCTTGTATATATTTTTTTGCTTATTCCTTGTTTTTCCATTGCTACCCAAAGCATTGAAAGTGGTACACTATCGTATGTCTTTGTCAGATCTATAAAGACTATATGAGTTGAAAGGTTGTGGGCTATTCTTTTCTCGATAACTTGCTTTAGAGAGAATATACTGTCCGTGCAGGATCTGTCTGCACGAAAGCCATTCTGTTCTTCTACATCTGTCATCTCTTTTTCAATTTTATTTTTTATTATTTTTTCATACAGTCTTGAGAGTGAATTTATGACACTTAGCCCCCTATAGTTTGAACAATTCTTTCTATCTCCTTTTTTTGTATATGTTGTTAATATGTGCTTTTGTCCACTCCGGTGGTAAGTCGTGTCCATTATAGAATAAGGTGAAGACATACGCCAGTAATTCCCGTAATACTTGTGGGCTATGTTTTAATAATTCATTTGGTATACCTTGTGGTCCGCATGACTTCCTCCCATTTTTTAGAGTTCGTATTGCATTCTCGACTTCCTGTACTGTTATTTCATCGTCTTCACTGAATTCAAGTTCATATGTTGTTGTACTGATGTTCGTGAATTGAGGTCTTGTTTCGGTCAAAAGTTGTGAGTAGTGTTTGATCCAAGATTTTTCTTCTATTAAATCTATTCTACTCGTTTCTTTTCTGTTTGTTCTCAAATTTTTTACCGTTTTCCATGCTTCTCTTAATCTTGTTGACCCTGTATATTTGTTGAGTTCTTCGCATTTACTTTCCCAGGAAATATGTTTTGCTTTAGTTACTAAGTTTTTTACTTCTCCGTTTGATCTTGCATATGTTCGTCTATCATCTGGATCATTTGTTTGCAGCCACTTTTGATATGCTTGTTTCTTGTTGTGTACTGCATTAGCGATGTCATTTGTCCACCACAATGGAGTATTCTTTTTGTTCTTTTGGATTGTGCCGAGCGCTTCGTAAGCTGCTTCATTGATTTTATTGATTATTTCTTTATAGGTATTCTGGGCTGAGGAGTAGATCAGGTTTGCCAATTTTTGGCTAAGTCGCAGCTTATATAAGAATGATATCGAGTCGTTTTGCAGTGCATCAATATTGTATTTAGGTAGATTCGATTCCAGGGGTTTTGATTGAGCTAGTTGGTTGTCATTTTGATGTAGTAGCCGAGGTCGATACTGTAGGTAACATTTTGATCTTACCATATAGTGGTCAGTTCCGCACTCCGGTCCTCTTAGTACTCTTATGTCTTCAACTTGTATGTGTGTTTCTTGTTTTGTGATGACATAATCTATAATTGACTTTGTGTTTCTCGTTGGTTGAACCTAGGTGTACTTATGTATGTTTCTATGTTGGTAGAATCCGTTTAGGATTTTCAGAGAGTGCTGTTCACAGAATTCGATTTGTTTATATTTAAAAAACAGTTTTAAATTTATATTTAAAAAGCGCACATTAAAATTTAAAAGTTAAGGTATCTCAACGTTTTTTTATTATTTTCTAAAATAAGGACACAATTTTATTCCATAAGTGGTTTCCACACTGTATGTATATGGTAGCAAAATTTTTTGGAAACTTATTGAACATTTATTTTCTAGAATTGTTTTTTTTTTTGTTAAATAAATAATTGTATTCTTCATTTATATAAATGTTCTCGTATTTTCTTATATTTTTTTGTATTTAGTATTCTCTCCAGTATATTCTGTTAGTTATAATTGGCCAATATACACCATAGATTTCAACTTTGCTCTCAATTCTCATATATCTGTTTGTTCACAAAGTATCTCTCGGATTACACTTACGGTTTCTGATGTATTGATTAATTTTTCAACTATCTTGATAGATTATGCTTGTTAGATGTCTGTATTCGGATATGTTTAAATTACAATATCGATTCTAATGGTCTATTTTTGATCACATCTTGACTTTCAAGATGTAAACTTTTTGCAGTAGGTAGTTTAATGTTTGATAAATATTGTAAGTCACGACTTAGTTTAAGAATATTTATAATTATTTTGTGCTTCTTTCTCCGATTCTAATTAATAAAACATATTATTTAGTATATTATAATTAGACTTCGGCAAATATGCAAATAAAAATGTAGAAAATATGCGCATAAATATGCACGTGTTTACCCGAAAATATGCAAATATTTTACAAAATATGCATACAAATAAATAAAAAAATCGTAAAATAGTAACAATTTTATTTAAAAAAAAAGTGTACATAACTAAATATTTCCTACTATTCATTAAGATTTACATTTATTTTAAGTAACTACATCATTTTTAAGTATGAATAAACTTATTTAGAATTATGGTAACAATAAATGACCAAGTGGTGTTCAAAATTTTCTAACAAAAACTTGTGGCTTCTGTCTGAGTACATATATTTATATATGGAAAAACTTCGTTCAACATCAACTGATGTAACGGGAGCATTTTTCAAACTAACCAAAACATTTGGTTCTAAATTAATTGTTTCCGAAATATTTCCAGCTAGAACACTGACTACTTCAGAAAGAATATGGTAACCTTTATTTTTTTCCATAGTAGCTTCAAATTTTTTAAAATATCTTTTCCAATATTACCTCTAACGTTCCGACAACATGACGCAAATTCTTTTATTAATGCAGTACTTTCGAACAATGACAGTTTTGGTGATTCTAACTGAGTAATTGTTTTTTGAACAAAACTAAAATTTGATTTTATAAATGAAAGTTCTTGTTGAAGCAAGTTACTCTGAAAAGTTTGTTTAGAATTCAAAAGAGATTGGGAACTTTCATCTGTTAACGTATCAATTATGTTCTTTATTTTAACAAAATGGTCTGCATAAAAATTAGCTGCTTCTAACCATGTTCCCCATCGCGTTAAAATAGGTTGTGGTGGAAGAGGAATGTTAGGTAGCATTTCTTTATAAAGTTGAATTCTTATAGGAGATTTAAGAAATACTTTTTTGACACTGGATATTATGGTATTTGCATGAGGAAACTTTTTTCGTATTTCCTCTGCAACTCTGTTTAATCCATGCGCTACACAAGTAACATGTATTAAATCTGGGAAAAATATTTTTAAATTTTGTCCCGCTTTCACTATATAAGGAGCAGCATCCGATAAAATAAGCAGTAATTTATTAGAAGGAATAGTTGTCGGAAGAAAAAAAGTTGCTTATGTTTCTTGTATAAAACGCGAAATTGTTAAAGCATTTGTTTTCTCAAGTTGCTGGCATGAAATAAGATGAGATTTTGGTAAGGTATCTTCTTTAAGAACACCAATCAATAAATGAGCAATATACTTTCCTGAGGAATCAGTGGTTTCGTCTACAGATATGTAAAAGTAATTATCTGCAATTTCTTCCTTAATATTAATTAACACCGACGAGTATAGCCCGTTCACATTATTTCTTCTTAGAGACCGATCACTTGGAACATTAAGTTTGCAATATTTTTTTAGAAACGAACTAAAATTTACATTTGCTAATTTTGAAAGCGGTATGTTTGCAGACACTAATGCGCGACACAAGTCTTCATTAAAAGTTTCTTGCTCATCTAATTTTTTTGAAGTAGATTGGAAACATTTAGCCATTGAAGTTTGATGTTTTCCTCCTATTTTTCCTTTTTTTGCAATGTGTGAAGCAGTTCTCACATGTTGGTCTATCTGAAATTTCTTCTCACATGCTATCTATAAATAAAAATAAAAACCTTTATTTTAACCCAACCTTTAAAATATAAAAATATACAAGGTGTTTTTGGTTAATCAAATAACTGGTTTGGAAAAAAAAACACTCACTAAGTGTTTTAAATGCAGTATTAATCCACAAATTAGTTTTTGTAACCATTAAGTAACAGTTTTGTTAACCATTAGTACATCATATAACTTATTTTAAAATTCAACAAAAGTTTTTTTTTTGTTAATTACAATAAAAATAATTGAGTTTTAGAATAGCTGACTTCATAAAAAAAAGTAAAGGTGAAAAATTTTTCTAAATACACACCATTGTATTGTACCATGGACAATTTTTTCTCACTAAGAAAGCTATTTTTCATTTAAAAACAACCTACGAGTACTAAATTTCAAGTAAATACGTTTATTGGTTTTAAAGTTATTGTTGTTATTAACTAAAAGAATTTAATTTTTTTTAATTTTAACACCCTGTATCTCGAAAAGTAAATAAGTTTGACCCCTCATTAACTATATCGTTTTGTATGTATGAAATAGACAGCTCTTTATAAGGTTTAATCCAAGTTGAAGCACTGGTTGTTTTAGGCATTATAAAATCACAATCTTCCTTTTTGTTACGCACAACGAGTGTTTACGCTTTGAATATCAAAACAAAAATGATTTACAAATCTGAGCATCAAATTAGAAATGTTTAGGTACCTAATTCAATAAACTGGGAGATTTTGGAAAATCCCTAAATTAGGAACAAAACTATTAGCCGTTTACCTGCTGTTAAGATACAATAAATTGTAGATAGATTTGGAGATTAGATCATAAAATGCAAATGAGCGAACCCTTAGCGATTATCCAATAACTGAATGCCTCAGTGACCGAGACTTTCTAAGAATGTTGAGGGCTACTTAAATTGATCTTCTTTGAAATTGTAAATCTTTTGTACCTGTAGAGATTACGTACTTAGATCATTTCTTGATTAAAATGACTACAAAATTTTATACAAGAATTGAAATAAATTGGTATGTTTAAAAATTTTCAAATACAGTATAAAAATCTGAACTTTTATGCACTTTATGCAAATTTTTATACAAATATGCCAAAATATTAAATATTTGCATAAAATATGCACAATATGCAAAATATGCAATATGCATATTTGCCGAAGTCTAATTATAATCATCATTATCATCTCCACAAGTTCCTATCGTGGGTGTTACAAATATAACACAATACTTCTTCACTACAGGAGAAATGCGACCAATTTGTGGTATTAGAGTTAGTGATCTTTTCCAAAGTTAAAATGCTTCTTTTCTAACTTTTCTGCACCGTACTGAAGACGACCAATAGTCAGAAATACATATATAGGGTTGCCTGTAGCTGTTGGTAGACAACATTTGTCTACCACCAGCTAGACCAGAGTCTACCAAATATATTCGCTAAAGATGACAATTATATCACAACACTATTTGAATAAAAGCTCTTGTTTTTTTTTAGTTTTATTTTTTTTTTTTTTAAATCTAGCACTTTGTTTTTCAGAGGGCATGCCAACGTTCTACTACTTCTATCTACCCATGGCAATTTTAATCGGAATAAATATTACCTTGTTCGTTCTCACTACTGTTAGAATACAAAAAATTAAGAGGGAAACTTCAATGTTAAAACAGACTGACAGCCGAAGACATACCTATGAAGACGACAAACAAAAGTAAGTGACAATTTGTGTACTTTTTTCTTTTTCTATATATACGCCTTTCCAACTGATTTATCCTTTTTCGTCGTTAGTGGGGGGGACATCATAGCCGTCAATGCCAGAGACCTACCTGCTAAAAAACACCCTCCTCAACCGTGAATTACCTGCTGGACCGCTCTGATTGCGACGCAACGTCGGCACGGCATTTACCCGATTTCTCATTCCCGCACACTCTCATTACGACTAAATCCTTCTCTTCCTCTATTCCTCCCTGTTTATGTTTAATCTTACAGAATATAGACTTGCGTATATCTTGCGACGCCCCTTCCAAAGCAGAGATAATAACAGCTATCAAATCTCTGAAAAATAACAAGTCTCCGGGAATCGATAACATTGCTGCCGAAATACTTAAAACTGATCCGCATCTAACTGCTGAACTTTTGCTCCCCATAATCCGAGAGGTGTGGGAAACAAACCGCATTCCAGCGGGCTGGAAAAAAAACATCATTATTAAGCTTCCAAAAAAGGGCAACCTCACACTATGCAAAAATTGAAGAGGAATAACCTTGCTTGCCGCCATAAATAAAATCTTCACGACCATCATACTTAAAAGATTAACAAACAAGGTTGAATTTCGAGCTAATCAAGTAGGCTTTAGACCAGAATCCTCCTGCATAGACCTCATTAATACTGTGAGGCTAATAATGGAACAATCGGTTGAATGGAACACACCCATATACATGGTTTTTGTTGATTTCGAGCGTGCTTTTGACAGCTTATCTCATGATGCGATATGGAAAATTTTAGAGCTAAGAAACATCCCGCATAAAATAATTTCCATTATAAAGTTACTGTACACTGAAGCGAAATGCAGCGTGACACACAATGGGATCAACAGTGACGAATTTGACGTACTTACTGGAGTCAGACAGGGATGCGTGCTTTCTCCGTTTCTTTTTAACATAGCTCTAGACTATGTTCTCTCCAAACTAGACTCTGACACAAGAGGGATATAATGGACGTTAACCACACGCCTAAGCGATCTAGAATACGCCGACGATATCTGCCTGTTAGGACAAAGGTTCCAAGATGTGGCTGACCAATTGGAACCACTTTCCACTGAAGCCAATAAAATAGGTTTGAAAATCAATATTGGTAAAACCAAATCCATGAGAATAAATGCAAGAAACAACACGCTATTCACCATTAATAACATGCAGATTGAAAATGTGGAAAACTTTACGTATCTTGGAAGTGTCATAACAGAAAGCGGAGGTACAGAAGACGATATTCGTATGAGGATACGAAAAGCGCAACAAGCTTTCAGCATGCTCAACCCTGTTTGGAGGTCTGGAGACTACACTACGAGGACAAAGATCCGCATAGTCCAGTCAAATGTCATGTCTGTACTACTTTACGGATGTGAAACCTGGAAAGCGACAAAAACCCTTACAGACAAACTGCAGGTCTTTGTTAATAAATGTCTACGAAGAATTGTTCGTATTTTCTGGCCTAACATCATCAGAAACGAAGATTTACTACACCTGACCAAACAAAAGAGGGTAGTAAATGAAATAAAGTCCAGAAAGTGGGGTTGGATCGGTCACACACTCCGAAAAAATAACTCCAGTATTGCAAAGACTGCCCTAGAGTGGAAATCCAAGGAAAACGAAAAAAGGTCGCCCAGTACAAACTTGAAGAAGATCCATCATGGACGAGATAAGAAAACAAGGAAAGTCTTGGAATATCTTGGAATCTTGGAAGGCCTTAGCGCAAAATAGAACCCGATGGCGCGTTTTCACTGAAGCTCTATGCTCCACTTCAGGAGTTCAAGAACCTTATTATATATATTATATATATATATATATATATATATATATATATATATAATATATATATATATATATATATATATATATATATATATATTATATATATATATATATATATATATATATATTATATATATATATATATATATATATTATATATTATATATATATATATATATATATATATATATATATTACGTTTAATCTTGCTCCTTCTCATTCTGCATTATCTTCTTGGTTGCTTCTGGACACCCTGCCTTCCTTCGAATCGCCTTTCTTCTTATTCCTTTCTCTCCAACGTTCTCTTCACATATCTCTGAACTGCTCTCCACCGATCTGACGACCTAAGCATTCCATATAGATACTTTCCCTTCGGTCAATGTATTCATTATATTTTTTTGCTTAATTTGCGTTCAATATGTTGTCACCATGACAAATTCTATGATTTATACAGTAATATATTCCTGTACATCCAGTGTATGATTTTTATTTATCTTTTTTAAAAGTTGTGTTTCCTATGTGTCAGATCTCTTTACTTTCATTTCATTTACCGTTCATTCTCTATCAGTGTATTTATATATGCCTTTATTATCATTATATGTTATATCATTAAAAGAAGATAACGTAACTTGAAAAAACCTAAATGATACAAATATATTGGAGTAGCCATTGGGTGCAGAAAAACTCTACGGGTATCCAGTTGAAATTCGATCAAAATATTGAGCAAATTAAATTGGGTACCTTATTCTGTAAAGTGGAGTTGTAAAGGCGTACTGGGCTACATAGGAATCTTCTTATTTTTCCAATGATCTATTATATTGGAAGTGATAAAATCCCTTCCAATGATAGAAGAAAGAAATTTGGATCTTAGGTGATCTTAATGCAAGAACCAGAAAAAGCTCCAACAGTGAAATAATAGGAAGATATGGAGAAGACATTCTGAACGACAATGGTCAAAGATTTATAGATTTGTGCGAGGCACATTCTTTGAAAATATTAAATGGTTTCTTCCCCCATAAGAATATACATAAATTTACATGGACGCAGCCTACCAGGAATTTAAAATCAATAATTGACTATTTCATTCATCGTAAAGATTCTAAACTAAAAACGAAGGACGTGAAGGTGTTTAGAGGGCCAGAATGTGAAAGTGACCACCATATGATTATTGCAAAAGTAATGGTGACATTTAAGAATCAAGTCACAAAAATGATGAAGTAACAGACATAGGAACAACCATAGAAAACATAAAATATAACCTGGAAAGCTTTAAACAAGATTCGACAAAGTTCTTATATAAAATTAGAATAGCTCAGAAAATAAAAAATATAGAAACAAAGGACTTAGATCCCGAAAGTCTGTATGAGGTAATTAAAAAATATATTCATGAAGAGGCAAATGAAGCACTGGGAAAAGTTGAAAATCGGAAAAATGGAAAACCTGAATGGTTGTCAACGGAACTAGAAGAGAAAGTTCTCAAGAAAAAACAAGCATATCACATATGGCTTCAATCCAAAGATCCTCAAGACAGAGAAATATACGCTAAATGAAATAGAGAAGTTAAAAAAGACGTGGATAAGGCGAAAAATATAAACTGGGAGGCTAAGTGTGATGAACTGGACAGATTTATGGGTGGAACAAAAGTGGCGCAAGCTTGGAAAACATTAAAACAGTTTAGGAAAAATGAGAAAAATGAAGACAACATTTCTCTCATAAAGTTAAATGAATGGGAAGAATATTATACGAAACTGCTGAAAGAGGATAGAGTAGAGTACAGATGGGAAAAGATAAGGGAATTAATAGACAACAGAGACGAAAGACAGGAAATCCCTATAATAACATTATCTGAATTGACGGAAACCTTAAAAGAGGTTAAAAACGGAAAAGCCGCAGGGCCTGGAGACATTCCCATAGAGCTGGTTAAATATGGGCCGACTGCACTTTTAGAATTAATAGTAGACCTTTTCAATAAATGTATGTGTGGAGACCAGGAAATTCCTAAAGATTGGAATAAATCCTATATAAGCTCCATATATAAGAGAGGGAATAAAAGAGAATATTCCAATTATAGAGGTATTAGTGTGACGAGCTCTGTGGGCCGGTTGTACGGCAGAATATTAAAGAAGAGGGTTGAAAGACAGATACAAGATATTGAAGAACAAAGCGGCTTTCGTACCGGGAGATCCTGCCTTGATAATATATTTATCCTACGACAAATAATTGAAAAGCGTGTCGAAAGAAGTAGAGAGACCCATTTGGTATTTATAGACCTTGAGAAAGCATATGATAGTGTCCCGTTAAAGAAAATGTTTGAGGTCCTCAAAAGGTCCGGATTGGATTCGACGTATATCCGAGCGATATATAAATTGTACGAAAATGCAGTTAGTTGTGTAAAAATTGGAACCAGAACCTCAAATGAATTTAAAGTCACTAAAGGCCTAAAGCAAGGATGCTGTTTGTCACCGACACTCTTTAAAATATACGTCCAAGAAGCATTGAGGAATTGGAGAAATAAATGTAGATTTATGGGCATCGAAGTGGGACAAGAAACTCTGTATACATTGTTGTTTGCAGATGATCAGGTGGTGGTTGCAACCGATGAGGAAGATATAAATTATATGAATCGAAAATTATTTGAGGAATATGCCAAATGGGGGCTTACTGTAAACATAAGCAAAACAGAATATTTAAAAATTGGAGGAAATACCACAGATCTGAGGCTTGAAAACGCAGTCATAAAAGGCTGCAACCAGTATAAATATCTAGGAAGCATCATATCAGCAGATGGCAGAGTTAAGATAGATGTACAAAACCGAATAACCCAAGGGAAAAAATGCATCCGAATACTGAATTCATTATTGTGGTCTAATAAAATAAAGATGCATACCAAACTTCGCGTATACAGAGCAATTGTAGAACCAATTACCACATATGGTGCCGAATGTTGCACGATGACAAAGAATGAACGAGATAAAGTAGACGTTGTGGAAATGGATTATCTTAGAAGGTCATGTCGAGTATCGAGAATGGAAAGAATCAGGAATGAGGAAATACGAAACCGTACAGGAATTAGAGATATTCTCTCAGATAGAATACAAGGAAGGCAATTACAATGGTATGGTCACGTGATGAGAATGGAGGAGGAGCGGTGGCCAAAGAAAGCCTTAATGTATGTTCCGCCAG